GGGGAGCCGGCTGAAACTGTCGTCGGCCGCCACCCTCTTCCGGCAACCCCCACCGCTAATTGCCCTGGCTTTAATATCACGCGTGGAATGAGGAGCCGTGAGAGGGGGTGGTAAGGTAGCAGAATTTGCCGAAGAGCGCCGGCAAACGGAGGCTGCGCCCGTTTTGTGTGCGTCCTCTGCCGTGACATCTACATCGAACGCTGGGGAGAGGGTGGCAGAGGGTGGCGGAGGGTGGCACAGGGGGTGGCGCCCGCATATTTGCGGATTTTACGCGCCGCGTTGAAGGCAGACGCGACCGATTTTCAGCCAATTTGCCGCGATTCGCTCGTTCGCTTTATTAATGATCCCGATGATCGAGGAGCACGCTAGAGAGTCAGTGAGAGATTGATCGACGATACCGGTAGTCTATTTGATAGTCATTGCTCGATGATGTCGAGCGTCGCTACAGAGGTTTTGCTCCAGTTAACGGGATTCTTATTTTTCCTGGATTTTTCTTCGAATTTTAAGAGGGGGCTTAATATCGAAGAAGATTTATTTTTGAACATCTTGAGGGTTTGATTAGGGGTTGGTAAACGTAATTTGTTTGCTCTATTTTACTTTCATATTTTTTTAGGGATATGATGTCAATATTAGGATTACTTGACTGGAAAATATGTCTGATTTCGTATTTTTATTTTTGGTGCAATTAATACTGACTTTTACCGAGACACTTAATTTGAGATATATAAAGATATATAGGAGTGGTACCATAATACTGTGTGATAGATTTTATATTCAATTTTAATTTTCTATTCTCTATACTGGAGAAGTAACTCTCAGTAACCAATATGAAAAATTACGAGAGTTAATGTCCAATATTAATTTTCAAATTATATGACAATTTAAAACAGTTTGATTTACTATTAATTTATACACGATTTCATTTCATTGTCACCGACTTTGAAAGAAACACTTCCAATTCTACCCCTTTAACTAACTTTTCATTTTAATCCCGTTTTTAAAACTCATCTAAAATATAAAATCCATCTAAACAGGAAACCATGGAACTACGAAGGTTCTAAGTAATTCCAAATCGAGAACCTCTAAATCTATTCTAACTTCTAACCTCAAAATCGATTGCAAAGATCGCGAGTAATCTCGCAGGAGCGTACTCGTACGTAAAATCGGAGAACGCGGAACCAATAATAAAGAAGCGAAGAGGCAGAATATTTTCGTAGGTACCAGCTGCGTGATCCTGAAGATGAAATCCCTCGTTCATTCGAGCGTGTTCATTTTTAAAGGCCCGTGGAACGAAGACTAATTAAAGACGGAGGGAAATTTCGTCGGGTGGCTGGAAGGAAACTCACGGGATCGTCGTCTTCGTCTTCTATATTGGCTCGTAAGGGTGGCTCTTATAAAGCGGAGCAATTATCCGGGTAAAATACTCTCCGAAATTTCCGTGATAAATTTCCGCCTGTAATAAGGGTGAGTCGCAAGTCATTTGGCCGGGCTCGCGGAGAGGGTGGGTATCGGAGCTTCAATAGAAATTCTTTCCAACCCCCACCGTCGTCGCGGAGTCTCTCCTTCTCTCTCCCTCTCCCGCGCTGACGCGCGCGCGCGCGCATACCGTCGTTTAATTTAAACATTTGTCGCTGATCCCATTCGATACTGCGAGTAGCGACTTCTTCCGGTCGAAAGCTAATAATTACAAGGTTTGAATGTAGTGCAGACAGGGCGAATGCTCCAAAAGGGGTGCGTTTCCGACGCCGTTGCCTCCCTAAGCGTCTGCGAATGGAAAAGTTAGGTTAGCTTGCAATCGAAATTAAAATGTACCGCCATGAAATTGTACGACAATGGTGTTTGGCCTTTAATGGAGTAATTTTGCCACCCTTTGCTCCGAGAGGCTAAGAATCTTAAGGATATTGTGCTCCTCGTCGCAGTTCTCGACAATTTTCGCTTTGCCTTTTTGAATTTCCCGCCTTTTACGTGAAACACTCTTTATCGAAAATTTTCATTATTCGAATGGAATTTCGAATCATGGAATAATTTCTTTCAATTATAAATGAAACTAATTTTCAATTTTATATCTTTTCTTGAATATTTCCTTTTTTTGAATTTCCCGCCTTTTATACGGGGTGTCGTTTATCGAAAAATGGAATGATTTTTGGAACAGTGAATTAGATTGAGGTTAAAGTAAGGTTTAAAAGGTGACGCATGAACGATGGTGGGTCGAGTTTCGAATCACAGCCTGGTTGCACTTAAGAATGGGATTAACGTTTAGTTTTATGGCGTTTCTTGAGCAGCTCGAGCTGCTGGACCCGAACTTAGCGTCATGGGGAAATATACGATGCAATTACGCGGATCTATTGTCTGGTTTCTAAAATATGCAAGACACGGTCGAAGTAAATTTCGGATTTATAGCTCAATCTCAACTTCATAATGGCCCTATGGAACTTTTCGCTGCCACTAAACACTTCGTCCATTAAACCGAACTCTATTATTCTGTTTGTAAGAATCCTGGCTCAAAATTCATTACTCGTTAAACTGCTGTGCATAAAATTTTGCATGATAAAGTGTACAACCTTCCTTATCATTGATCAACATTCCTGTACACGAATGACGTCATTGTAATTTACGCGAAGGTACCGCCATCTTTTTTCGTTCATGAAAGTTTAATATTTGGAAACTGCCCTTAAAGATTCGCGTTAACCTAACTTTTCTGTTAAGTAATTAATTGTAAGCGAGGGTACATAATCAGGGGGATGAAATTCCTCAAATGTTCGATTAACAGAGTGTGCAGCTAGGCGTCGAGGTAAGAAGGAAGTGATAAAATAATGATGGAGGAGAGAAAAGTCAAGACGACGTAAAACCTGGTCGTAATTAAGCTCTTGCCCTTGAGCTTAAGCTCCTTAGAGGTTTTCCGAGGCACTGAAATTCCCGCATACCCGTCAACGTCTAATGAGGGGATTGCGGATGAAGTTTCAGGCCAGAAAGGGGCAATTAGGCGAACCGTGTTTGCTCTAGCTCTCGAAGAACATACGCACGGTGATCTTCGATTATTCGCGAACACTGCTTCCTCCTACGACACTCCTGAGTTCAAACTTTACCTTCAAAATCGAAGACAATATTCTGCCATTATTACCCACCCCTTAGTACGCTTTATGACAATACCAATGATTTAAGTTTATGCCAAAAGTATCCTGTAATCGAAGGAATATTCGTGAAGATAATTATTCTACGTGAAAAAGTACGTCGAAAGTGTGGAATAAATATTTTTCATACGAGGCACTGTTCGTGAGAAAATTACCTTTGTATGCGTGTTGGGTGTGCGTCTGTATCACGTGACTATATCAGAAATTGACAAATTTTAAATTGACGAACAATTTAAACAGTGTAGTTACTTACAAATATTACAGAATGATTATAAAAATGCAAGAAAATTTAATCATTCGTGTAAGAATAAATTTAAATACCTAACTCAATAAAGTGCAGTTGCGCCAACACACGTTTGAAGTTAATTTTCTCAAAAACGAGGCCTCCAATGAAAAAATTTTATCCCACATTTTCGATTTATTTTTTCATACAGAATTATTTACAGAAGTTTTTGTAGAAATCGTATACCATCGTTCACGATCAATCACGATTTCCTATTCTCGTCCACGCGTACCAAAATCATTCTCCGAGTACAAAAATACGGAAGCACGAAAGAGAATGAAAAACTCGTCTTACCAGAGAGAAAACAGAGACGTCGGAGCGGAATCATCCAGGACCCAGTGAATCCTTCAACGGCGTGGACTATCTCAATCCGAGGCGGCGGAGGCAAGAAAGATCACCGGGACAAAATTAAACGACCTCATCATCATTAGAACGCGACCACCTAATTACCGGGAACGTCTTAGACGCGGATGACATCGTCGACGAACACAGACAATCGAGCAGCGAGGAGAAGACGCGAGACAGACCCTCTCTCTCTCATCCCCCGAGCCAGATCTTCCACCACCACCCTCGCGAAGAGCTCGACGAGCAACGGCTGCGTCTGTGTGACGGAACCGGCAGAGGAGCGAGACGAATCGCTACACACGGGGGTGAAAGCTTATTAATGGGGGCTGGTCGGGTACTGAGAGAAAGAGAGAGAGAGAGATAGGGCGAGGAGGGAGAGACGGAAGGCCTAGAACAGCGGCCAGAGCAAGAACGAGTACAGGCCTTGAGAGCTGCTGCCTCGTGGCTGGATGGTTTGAGGTGGAGGGTGGAAAAAAAGTAACAGACTCCCCGCAAATAACCCCCACGATGCTGCCAACTAGGCGTGGCCTGGCTCCGTGGTGATGGCAGCGCTCGACCAATCGCAGACACCCCAGCAACCCCGCCGTCGGCTACCCTGGTCGAATGAAAAAATATTGACCGTGGCGAGGGGGTATTCTGCGGTCCATTTGGGGGTTGCGGAGGTGAAACACAACGTCGGACTGATTGCCAGCAGAGTGGCGAACGGGAGCAGGGGGGTGGACCGTCGGGTGAATACCCCCCTCGTCACGTACGGGATCATTAGCCGGATATCCTTAGTCCTGCTCGCCAACCCTCTCTGATAGCGGTGATCCTCGTGCCTGACATCATTATCCTGGGACGCTGTGCAGCGCCAGCGCGGCTCGGCCATCCTTCGAGGCTGCCCTCGTCATCATTCCAGTTCGGTTCCTCGTGTTTTGCCTTCCCGTGTGTGTCCATGGTGTTACGCCAGCTACTCGGATAGTCCGAATCGTCTCCACGGTGATGTCGGTGCACCCGCGACCGAGTCGGGGCTTCCGATCTATGTGACGTGTGTTTCGTGACAGAAAACAGTTGAAGATCCTCAGGATTCGAAGATTTCGGCAACGATGGACGGCGTATCCGTGTGGAGTGACTCGTCATAGGGAATGGTAGACGTTCGTTCTGTGTACTGTCAAGTCTGTGTCAACATACTCGCGAAAGATACTCTTCGTGACTCGGTTTAGAACGCTGCGCTGTGGGGATCAGGTGCACCTAGGCTGATTATGGAGCCGAACGATCCGTCGGGCAGACTGACCGTCGAGGATCTCTCCGATTGTAGAAGCGAGAGCAGTCACTCGGAGAGCCAACTGCGAGCCTTCCAAGACCGCATCAAGGAGCTGAACCTGTCCGTAGAGAAGTCAAAGGAGGACCCGTCCATAGAGCCCAAAGACTTCCATCTGGGTCTAGAGCCTAGCAGAACCTCTATCCGTTTCGACGACTTCGAGACCCCGACCAGGAATCTCCCTATGACGCTGAACAAAGGCAAGGACTACGGTTACATAGCCGGTAGCCTGAACGAGATGGCGTATCCTATGGACAGGACCAGCGAGAACGACGAGTCTCTTGAGACGTCTAACCTGTGCAGGACCAAGAACCCGACGGCCAAGGATCTGCTGTCTAATCTTCGCGAGAACAGGCACAAGAACGTGCACGCAGCTCTGTCGCTTGACAGGTACGGCAAGGACTTGAATTTCGCCGTGTCGGAGAAAGACATCAAGGACTTTGGCCTGTTGAAGAACTACAGTCTAGACCGGATGAAGGAGTTCAACCTGTCGTTGGACAGGATGAGGGAGAGTCATATCGGTAACTTTGCACTGGAGAGACTTCGAGGTGGAGCTGGCCTGCTGGAAAATCCACCGATATTGGAGCACAACGAGCTGAAGAATATGCAGATGCAACCGAGGAACCAGGATCTAGAGGCTATCGCGTTGGAACGCATGAGACGATCTCATCTCTTGGGCACCGATCTCTCGGCCCAGAATCTCTCCACGCAGATACCACATCCGCATTCAATCACGCAGATGCAGCACTCGCAGCAGCAACAGCAACAGCAGGCTAAGTCGTTCACCATAGACGCGATTCTTGGGCTCAGGAACAATCCCAGGGAGAAGCGTAGTCAGCAGCAACAGTACAGGAAGCATCAGGGTATTTGATATGGGATTTTTGGTGGTTAATTTGGGGTGGTCACGTTGCATGAATTTTGGGAAGGTCGAGGAAGCTTGGATTTTTAAGTACAGGTTAGCCTTATGGCATCTGACAGCTATTAGGGTCCTATTTAAAGCTCTACCTCGAATTCTTTTAGTAAAAGAATTGGTATTTATACAATCGTATATATATATAGATCGTGGTTAATTAGAAATATGCAAGGTTTTTGAATCGGAGGTGGATTAAAGTAATCGATATTTGATAAAAATAATTGACACATGGTTTAATTGATCAGCCTTAAGATAGTTTCGTGTTCCAAACTTCAGACACTCTCCAGAAACAAATGCAAATTGCGTGACGATATTTCTGGCGAAAATCCGTGTGTCAGTTTTGTCCATAGTCTACAAAATTCTAGTTGACCTCCGTAATAACCGAGGAATATAAAATCTCTGAAACATTAACCTCTAACCTCTCCCAATTGGATTCACCTTCATCTCCAGGTACGAATAACGAACCAAACCTGCATCTTGTCTTGACGTCTACATAACCTGTTCAGATTTGATTTATTCTCTTCAAATTTAAAGAAACCGAAATATAACTTAAATATAACTTAACACTGGAATAGTATTAGAAATAATAACGAAAATAAAATAGGTTTTGATCCTTTCATCTATGTAAATTTATTAGCTCACTACGATATTAGTCGAAAATGTCAATACAATTTTAAATTCTATTCAGAACCTATACAAATTGAAATGGCTACGTACTTATATTCATGTTTGCACACAAATAATGGGAAATTAATTTCAATTCGGTCAAAAGTAGTCGTATATTCTCCCCAAATTACAATAAAAATATTAGAGCAACTAAGATAAGTAATTTAAACCTCCATAATAGTATTTACAATAATTCTCTCAATGAATTCATAAAAGTTTATAAAAGCTAAAAAATAATATTTCCCAAATCTAAAATAATAAACAATTTAACAATTTAAATGTTAAACCTATTTTCTGTCAACCTATTTTCGCGTCAGCATTAAAAGCAACACGTCCATCGGTTAGCAACAGACGGTTGATGCAATTAACCTGAAAAACTCTAATGTCAAAATCAATTTACCTTCCCACGCAAAATTCAGCAAAGACCATCGTTGCACCCAGTCCATTGTTCACCGTGAAAATTCTCTGCTCGCAGGTCAGGAAGGCGGCACGAAGAACAGCAGCTCGAGCTCGTGTTCCGGCGGCGGCGGCAAGCTGAAGAGGGTGCGTACGATCTTCACGGCCGAGCAGCTGGAGAGATTGGAGGGAGAATTCGCGAGACAGCAGTACATGGTCGGGCCCGAGAGGCTGTACCTGGCGCACGCACTCAGGCTGACCGAGGCCCAGGTGAAGGTGTGGTTCCAGAACCGGCGGATCAAGTGGCGGAAGCACCACCACGAGCAGCAAAGTCAGAGGGTGCACGAGTTCCAGCGATCGCTGAACTCGTCGCTGGAGCACGAGGACAGCAACGAGACCGACAAATGGTGAAAACAGTCCGCGTTCCTCGATCGAGAAGCACCTCTTCGTTTCCTCTCTTCCCCCCTGCTTCATCCGTTCTTCGATCCTAGAAATGTTCGACTGCTCGCGTTCGAGGAGGGCCTGATCCAAGCCCAAGGACGATTCTCGCGCGGCTTCGACGATTTCCAGCTCTGACGGTTTTCCAGTCCTCCGTGCGGTACCCTGACGTGTCCTCGTCCTTTCCGATACCTCTGAACGGTTTCCGTTGTTCTAAGAACCCCGAAGATCCCGAGGATTCCGAGGACTTTGAGGATTTAGGGTGTTCAGGAGATTCCTAGGACTCTGGGACCTTGAGGATATAGAGTTTTCCGGAGATTCCGAGGATTTTGGAATTTTGGGACTTTGGAAAATCGGAGTGTTCCGTGGACCCTGAGAATTTTGAGGATTCCGAGTATTTCGAAGACTACGAACTCTAAAAACTGTCAAGATTTTGAAGATACCGGAGACCCCGAGGACTCGAGGACTCTGAGTATTCTGCAGATTCTCTAGACTCTGAGGACTACGATAGTCCTGAGTATTCCGAGGATTCTGGTGACACCGAGTTCCTCTTCGGTTGATCTCGCGCGGAACATGAAGAGAAAGGTCGGAGCAACGTATGACACTTGGTAGCCTCTCGGAGCGAATTACAGATCTCGATCGGGGATTCAGGGGTGGAAATGAGACTCGTGTGCTTTTGAAGCGAGACCCGGTGAAGATAATTCTATGTTGACGTAGATCGATAGTTTCGAAAGCGTTGAACGAACGTTTGACAGAGATTTGGCAGGCTGACTCGCGAGATCGTTTATTTTCACGAACGTCGGTCGATTGCTTCTACTTACCCGATTTTGGATGTCGCGTGGACGTCGTTGCACGACGATGGAATAGGAGACACGATTCCCTGAGACGAATCATGCTAATCGTCCATTGACAAGTGCGAGAGTGAAAGGACTATTGTTCGACGATATTATTCCCCGGACACTGTGGACAAACGACGAAATTTTAACGATGAAACAAGTCGAGAATTACAAGAAATACTTAGCACATTCGCAACCCGACGCGAGGGACACAGTCGACTCTTGCTGGAAACATCAGCAGAGGAAGAGCCAGTCTTTCCCGCTTGGCAGATGTAGCAAGTAAGTAATCGAGTAGCTTGTAGCAATTTTTCATATGCAATCTTCCCGGAGAATTCGAAATTTTATTTCTTCGACGATTAACCCCTTTGCACTCGAAGGTTTTGCTAACTATTGTATAATATTAAATACAGTAATATATATAATAATATAATTCAATGAATATAACAATATAATTATATAATACATTAATACAATAGTATATATAATAATATAATGGAATAAATATAACAATATAATAATATAATAATATTGCTAAAATAAATGAAGAAAATCACGTATATTTTGTTCCAATACTTTAATCTACAATATCATACAAATATACAATAATACAATATAATAGAAATATAATACAATAATACAACATAATAGAAATATAATACAATAATATAATATAATAGAAATATAATGCAATAATACAATACAATACAAATATAATACAATAATATAATAATATTGCTAAAATAAATGAAGAAAATCACGTATATTTTGTTTCGATATTCTAATCTAGTTATTGTCTAGTTTAATTATTGAAGTCACAGTTAATCTAATTATTGAAGTCAAAGTATTAGTTACTTCGACTTCAATGTACCAGAATAAATGTCTGAGTTACCTCACGAGTGCAAAGGGTTAGTGATTATTCGTTCGCAAGAAATTCGGTAGAATTTTTTCTCATGTGAATATCCTTAAGGAACCCGGAATCGCCAGCGAACTACTATTCCTCGACGACTTCTTACAAGCCGCAGTGGGGCCACATGTGTTCCAGCCCGACGTACTCCAAGTGCAGCTCGTTTCACAGCCCCGACGCGGCGTATCTTCAGGGTCGGTCGAAGACTAATCGGGACAAACACCATCTCCCGGGCTTCTCGCCGAAGAGGAAGACCCACTACGACGACGAGCTGGGCGACATCGAGAAACTGAAGTTCATCGACGAACAATTGGGAAATCTCGTGGAGGACAACGCGGAGGAAGAGGTTGAAGAGGAAGTCACAGGTTGAATTTTAAATTTGGGATATTAACCCCGACTAGTTATTATATTATATATACGGCGGCATCATTCTCACCCCCGTTATGAAATGAATCCCAAGTTCAAGAAGGTTCGAGGATTTTCTCGCAAGTAAATTTTCTCGGTAAACCCCCCACTTTCTGGGATAGAAATTCCAAACTTTCCAATAGTATCCCCGTCTAAGACAGGGCCTGATGAGTCCACTAGCAGGCCCAGGACACAAAGCATCCCATCACTTCGTCCCTTTCATCCTCACATCGAGGATACCCCTCGTTCAAACCGACTAACAGCAAAAACGGGGGTGGTCCCCCACATTTATATTAACCCTAATGAGATTAAATTACTTCCAGCTTAAAAATTATTTAATAAACTCGTCTTCCTTCCCGAGAAATGAAAAAGAAGTACAATTTTAATCCTATTTCACGATACATTCTTCAAACTCGAATTTTTACAGAAATTCGGTAAAAATATTCATTTTCTTACCGGTAACTTAAAGGCCATTGATTAGACGTTTTCCTGCACTTAAATGCAGTGAAAAGGAAATTAAATACTATTCCATATTAGCCAAATTCATTCGTGATACTCTGGCAAGTAAAGTGGAAAATAATTTTGAAAATAATCGAAAATTAAATTAGGGAAGGGAATTTTCACGTATTAAGTATAAATATCGGTGGAATTTAATTTGTGAGTGGGAGTTTATAAAATTTGTGAATTCTCGCCGACAGAGGATGATCACGAGGGGGCAAGTAAATTCCTGGACAAGGATTACGAGGAGCAGGAAGCGGACGACGAGATAGACGACGAGTCTGAACCGTCTCCGCAGGCTCGCAGAACTCAAAGAGCAAGCAAGAACGAGGCACCACTGAGACAGCAGCGATGGAGAGCCGTGGAGCCGCAGCCTGACACGCGAAGGCTTCGTTGCCAGCAACGAGTGGCTTTGGTGCAAAATCATCCCTCATCTCCCAGGTATGCTCCGGCCTTTACCAAAATAATGTCTAATTTCAAAGAATTTCCTTCGTTTCGTTACACTGGTGTTTTATCATTTCAATTATCGTCTGTATTTATTTAAATGTACATTACACGTGTCCACGCATTGTCCGTGTCATTATTCGAAATATTCGCAACTGATGTCAACGCTAATTTGCTATTCACTCATTTCTGACAGTGCTACAATTTATTTTCAAGCATAAAATTTAATCTTCTTTAATTTTATCAAGTGTGTGGCAGACATAGAAATGTGAGGAGCAACATTTGCATCACAAATTTCTCTGTACACTGTCAAGCATATTTGACAGACTCTACTCAAAGTTCTCTAAAAAATATTACGTTTGGCATCAAATGGGTAGGACAATTTATACTTCTCGTTCCAATAACATCGATGCTGTTGAATTAAATTTTTAATTTCGAATTTTCACACTAAATCCAAACTTTACGAAGATTGTGCCAATAATTGGCATCATAGTGCTGATAGCCAAAACGTGTTTCGAATGGGTTGTCCATGGAATTTTATACACGCGACGCAATGACAATTGTACGACACACGATGAATCGGAGATCGTCGTTTTGAAACGTGGTTCCGACCAGGTTCTACCACAACGTGGCCGAGCGCGAGATACCCGAGCCCTTATCAGAAGAAGACTTCGTCCGAACGTCGCTGAAGTGTTCGCCAAGGCGACAGTCCACGGACTATCGTCAGTGGTCGCCGAGGAACGAAGCTGATCGATACGACGACGTGTCACCCTCGACCCAGTTGACTCGACGAGCTCGCACCAAACCGGATGTGGACCGACTGATGGAGTCGGAGCTGAACAGGACGAGAAGGTGCAATCGCTGCGGTAGCCTGTCCAGCAAAAGGAACGAACAGCCTCGGAAGAACAGCTGCAGATTCGACAACGCGAATATTACCTTTAAGGGACCAATTGGTGAGATCCTACATTTAATTGCTACCTTTGCTGCCGAATTTTTACTACATTCCATTCGACACTGTATTTTACTTAGTATACTACTTTATACTTGATTCTGTGCTTTGACATCTGTTAGATATTTATTTTTATTTTCAAATTCTTTTCTACAATCACCATAAATTATTTATTTTTATTATAATTTTGTATTATTTATATTTATTATAAGTAAATTATAATTCTTTTCTTACTCAAGACTATGCAATCGTCACGAAAATACCATAAGTACTTAGGATTAAGTTAGTGCACTCTGAGATGCATACTGCGAAAGAAATAGAAGGTTAAAAATGTACATTTAGTTAAAGATCACCTTTCTATAGAAAGGTGTACAGTATTACAAATTATTCGCGAATTTTAGGCACTATTAATTACTAAATGATGCTCAAATTTAGTTAATTTCATTCTAACCTCAAACATGACTTGACATAAATTTGTCAACTAATTCAAATACTACAGTACGAATCAGAAATTTTACCTGCAATTGTAAATTACAGAGCTCGCAACAATAACCACGTGTTTTTCCCTAATTTTCAGGCGACGAACCCGAGAGCCACGAACTGTACTGCGGCCATTGCAACCTGAGGTACAGCGCGAAGGACGCCAGTGGCGCCACCAACATCCCATCCGTTCTGTACCCCACGAAGCCACGCAGATCTCGAGAAGGGAAGTCGTCGACGATCTACGAGGTCCCAGAACAGAGCCAAGACAAACTTTCCACCGACTACACGCGATTGTCCTCGAAGTACCAAAGGAAACCGACAGAGGGCTTCACGGAGAAGCCAAAGAGGTCGCTGCACACGTCTCATGGCGCCGCGCGAATACCCTCTCGATACGTGGAATAGCACCGTTTCTTCGACTGACTTGAAGTATCCTGTGAACGAAGAAGAACCCATCTCGAATCGAATAATTGAAAAGATAGAAAGGAAAATGGAGAATACGTACGGAACACGAACACTGTAACCACGTTTCAGGATCGGAGATCCTTCCCTCGTTCCCAGGCGATTCTCGTGACTATTTTCGTACAAGGAGTTCTTCCCTGTATCGCTGTCTAAGGATATGTGTGTGTGTGTGGGTGTCGGACATGGTAGAAACGAGCCCATTTCGTTGTAATTCATCAATGAGAGACTCGATCCTCGAGAGCAACGAACGCGTCGTAGAGCAAGAGAGTAAAACGAATCGCTCCTACTCGATCGTTTCCCTCCTACTGGTTGTGTAATATATATTTTTGTAAACTGTCCTCGGGTCATTGTAGATGTTACACTGTGCGTGTTGTCCGGGACTACGAAGCTAGCTGCACGATGTACATACTCGCATTAGGTGAATCGATTAGAGTCTAAACGTGTCCCCTTGAAAACCCTCGCTTTCCGTCTTCGGTGTTCGACGATCTTCTAAGTGGTAATCACCGTTCCCTCGGCACGAAATCGATTGTATATAGAAGACACCAGCGCTGATAACGATTCTGTGTACACAAGAATAAAACCTCGAATCTGTGCACCGAGCCCAGTCTACTTTTCCTCGTCCTTATGGCGCTCCTCGTTTTATTTTGCAATTTCTCATTGGAGAGTCGTGGCAGGTGAGTTTTGATCAGATCGAGAGGAGAGAGGGATAGTGGAATTATTGGTTTCTTAGAGTTTGACGTATGTGGAGGAGTATAAACATTAAAATAAAATTTATTATCTGTTTTTTTTTTTAGATATAATTCAATTTTGGAGGGTACTTTGGTAATGAGAATACTACCTGGAGATTAATTTTCTCATGGCATCTTTGCTTTGAATGTGAGAAAATTTGAGAATTTAATTATTTATACGAAAATCGAATTTAATAATTACTTGTCAACCAAATTTTTTAATTATTTTTGTATGTATAATAGCAAAGTTTCTAAGGGACTTTTATCATCCTAAATTTAAAAATAGCTTATCCAAAATTACAGATAGTACAATATCGAAAGTGAAATGTTATTTATGAGACTTATGAAAAATTCTACGGAACACCATTCTTGATAAAAGATTCCCAAAAATTATATAAGCAGATCCCTATTAAAGGAAATTAAAAAATTATTTCTGCAAAATTGTAAGAAGCACGGTAGAAAAATTTGGAAGCTTCCCTTCCTCTAAAATTAAAGAAGTCACTCACCAAAATTCCCAAAAACACAATAAAATAATTTGAAACTCGCCTATTCCCACAAACGAAGAAATACACCTCCAAAATTCTCAAACTTCAAGAAACACGACTCCACCGACTCAATTCCACTCCCCATAAGAATCTCGCATTATCGCCCCACTTCATTAAAACCACCCCTAAAAACTCCTTCGACTGTTCACAAAAAGGGGCCAAAATTCCCAATAAACCAAATTCCAATATTCACCCCCGGGAATGGCGAAATAAAATCTAAAAAGCAGCATCTCGCAAATTCAGCAATAGCCACGAGGAAAGACCCTCGAGGAACTTCCTTCGAATTCGTTTTTCTCCGTGCAGCAATTGGTACTAATTAATTAGCGGCGTGTCTTACGCTCTTTCTGGGATTTTATTCGCCCCTCCGCGAGTGGGGTGCAGCTTTTTGTCGAGCCACAAAGGCGGTCGCTTTCGCCGCCCCTTTTGTTTAAATATTAATAACGCGCGGAAACTCTGTCGCTATCTGACCGCGGCGGAACGGCCGGGCTTTGTTCAATTAAACTTAATATCTTTATTATATCGGAGCGTCGAAAGCGGATATTATTTATTGCGGCGGAAGTCGGGAAACGGGGCAGCGTGGGCGGAGGAAACCTCACCCTTCGAACCATGGATCCCGTTGTCTTTCCGCGCAAATTACTCGGGAATTAAATCCGTATCCGGGGATTTCAGATTTTTATGTTTAGGGAAACACTGTAATTGTACCTCGCTTTTGTACCTGCAAATTAACCGATTCATTTTTTCCCGTCGTATTTAATTCACTTAATCGGAGATTCACATTTCTCAGCGAAAAGGGTTGAGAAATAGGGTAATTATTTTTCGAATTTTTGTACAGTCTGTATCTTTTGGGGGATACGAAAAATGTTTAATTTTGGGGGGCTCCACTGTTCCGTGGAAAAATTTTCATTAAAACGGGAAAAAATTGTTGAAATTTTTATGATTTCGCAGCCTTAAAAGTATTTCCTGTTGATCAAAAAATTACACAATTTACAACGCGTTATGATTTATATCGCGTGTGCAAATTTTATCGAAAGGGGAATTTTTTGGTCGAGGAATTCCTTTGAAACACGGTGTTCGAATATTTTTGCTACGTACAGAACGTATATCTCCAACTGTGCGATTAATTACCACAGGTTTCAAGCACCATCTTACATCTATTCATTCTTCCTCTGACCCAGTGATCTTCTTGCTATTTCGTTTCATGATTCAGGATATACTATAATTACTATAACTCTGCTAAGAAGATACCTTTTTGGACTCAACATCGCTGCTACTATTTTATTCAATAAATTCATGTAAAAGAAGATAAATAATCCAACACGGCGTTTATTTAAAATTCTCAGGGCACGCATAATAATTCTTCCAGTGCCATAAATACACTACTATAGCTCGATACACTGATCAAAGAACGTTCCCAAAACCCAATTTCCAAAATTGATCACCATCGTCGCTGGAAGTGGAAGATTCGTCGTTAAAAATCGCGAAGGGAGAACTGGAATACGAATACGAATACTAGTAGTACGAGCGAATCAAACGTCAGGCAGAAAATGGTAATCGTCGCGCGGCACAGCGTCCATCGAGCAGCGAAATTCCGACATGGAAAAATCTGACGCGGATGACGTCGGTAACTAATATTCGCTCGTTACGTGCAGCCCTTTTGTCGACGTGATAAATTAGCCGTCGACCCATGTCAAAGGGCCACAAAGAAAGCAAACCTTCGATGGAGAATCGTACGGACTTCGCTATCAGGCTAGAAACATCGGGGCTTATCGATCGGGAACCAGAGATGCTCCAGTGTCTAATCTGTTTGTCAAATTCGGTCAACCTTCGCCTCTATTAGACAATAATCGCTTTAATGGAGTCGCGACTAACGCTAATTCGATTCTGCCTTTGCACCCGAGCTGAATTTCTGGGTAAGTAATGTCGTTACCACGGTGAGAAGGGTGGAACGTGGTCCAAATTTGAGATTGGTAATTGCGATGTCATTGTAGATGACAGAAGATAGAGGAGGTTAATCTCGGAAGATCTTTGGGGATGGTATTTTTAGGTTAGGTTATGGAATAGTAATCACATATAGAATTTTATATTTATTTTAATTGGAAATGAGAAAATTCTATTACTGACAAAGGTGATGACGATTTTCATTGAGACAGAATGTTATTATTTTTATTATTCGACTTTAATTATCGTTATCTGTGTATAGTATATTTAAGTATTCATTCTGGGTTAGGGTTTAATGGATTGAACCAAGTTAGATAAGAAGTAGGATCTTCCTTTAGAAGTCTAGATAAATCCTAAAAGCTGTCATAGAGAATTCGACAGTGTAAGTAATAAATGATGTAGATACCAATAGAAATATAGACAAACCCCAGTTTCTTTCTGTTTGACCATTTAATTTGGTCTTCCTTTACCATCTACATCATGGACCACTTAGGCTTCACATTTCTAAATCGATCTAAAATTTTTCTGATCCCTGAGGAACCAAACCTACTTCAGACTTCCTAATTCTAATCTGTCATTAAAAGAGACCCAGTGCCACTCAGTAATTCAGAAGATCAGAGCCTGGAACACCAAAATTTGGGAGACCGGAAGAATCTGAAAGACCAGAACCTCTTCCTAGCAAGTGGAAAAACTGCTGGAAGAGCAGACCCGTTCCATCAGCCCACATCTCGTGAGCAGGATTATTTCGCGGGAAGAAATCACGACGTGGCAGAAATTCGCGGCGAGAGGCAACAAAGAGGGAGAGAAAAGAGCGACGAGGTGATAAGCCTCGATATCTCGAGCTACACCCCCTGCGCGCGGGATGTAAGCTCCGCCTATCCCTGGGTTACAGCGGTACTTCCAAGAACCCCCTGGAGCCCCGCACCCCGGCCAGGGGGGTAACCCAACCCCGGTGTTCCATCGTCGTTGGCATCCGCGGCATTCCAATTAGCTCGCGAATCAAAAGAGCCCCACTGCCTTTGTGGGGTCTCACCCCCTACCCCCTGGTAAACTGTCTCCTTCCCTCTTCCACCCCCGCCAGCTCGCCCTCGCCTCTCTTTCCGGCCGTTCGCTCTTCCTCTTTCTCGCGATCGCTCCCTTCTTCCTTCTGCTTCCCGGCTGGTTACCGACAGGGATCTGTCTCTGTTTCGCGCACACACGCGTCCATGCATCCGCGTATGGAGAGGCACACACTGGTCCTTTTCCCTCGTTTTTATTCCACGATACACGCCGTGATTCTGTCCTCCCGGTAGAACTTTCCGGACAGAGGCTGGAGGCCGATCGGATCCTGAGCGGAATGCGTGACGCGGCTAGTCGAGGGAATAAAGTTAGGGGTTGATGATGATTGTTGGACGGCGGTTGTTGATTTCGTGGTGAACGCTGGTGACTAGGTTTTTCAGCTAAGAATAGAGAAACGGCTTGTTAACGCTAAAAAATAAAAAATTACTTTGGATAGTATTAAAAATTTATATTCTTGGATTACATTTTGTATCCTGGCTGGATTGTCTAGCTTGTAGGTGTCAATTAGAGTCAATTGCATGAAATAGTCCTTAAGTATGTAGGTTATATGACACGGTGGATCGGGCAATTTGATCACTCAGAATTATTCTACGTTCAAAAAGGAGTCGAAAAGAAAGAATAAAGTTTTTCTGTTCGAAGCCTCGTTTTCGAGGAAATCGAGATTCAAATGACG